TATTTATAAATATTAATTATTTATTTTCATTAAAAATTTTAAAATAATAATGGTTTTAGTGTTATTTGATGTGCCTTTCAAACTGTGGACGATTACACCGTATTTCTCTGTCAAACCTAAAATTGGAATGGCAGGGAGAAACGAAGACATATAACTAGTAGAATTCAAAATGTAAGTGGGTGTAGTGTCCCGATTGATGTGCGTTTGATTCACTAGATGGATATTGAATTTTGAATGGTGTTATAAATCCAGCACGAATAGGTTTGTTTATGATGAGTTTTGGAGTATTTTTAAACTCTTGTGAATAAAAATTTAATAAATCTATCAAAAAATTAATAAAAATTTCCCTTTATTCTGATCAATCATATGTACTACATACTTTTTTTTTTTATAAAATGGTACCTATATTTTAAATTCAAAGTAGTATTTATTTAAAAAAAAATCAAGATAGTGTTTGTTTGATTGATATTTGAGATTGTGTTTCCCTTTAGGCCATATATATTTTGAAAATGTTTTCTTAGAACATGAATGGTATGGGCTGAAGGCTGAAGCAGTGTGTAGTTATTAATAGTGCCAAAGAACGGGGCTACAGCCTACAGGCTATGAAGCCTAAAATTAATGAGAAAGGGAGGTAGCTAAATGTAATCGCCACGTCTTGGGCTAATTTTAAATTCAAAGTACTATTTATTTTTAAAAAAAAATCAAGATAGTACTTGTTTGATTGATATTTATTTTTCTAAAATGGTACCTACTTTTTAAATTCAAAGTACTATTTATTTTTTTTAAGAAAAATTAAGATAGTACTTGTTTGATTGATATTTGAGATTGCTTTTTCCCTCTTTAGCCATATTGGATTGGGATTGTTTTTCTCAGAACATGAATGGTATGGGCTGAACAAAAGGCCTGAAGCAATGTGTAGTTATTAATTGTGCCAAAGTACGGGGTTACAGCCTACAGGCTATGAAGCCTAAAATTAAGGAGAAAGGGAGGTGGCTAAATGTCATCGCCACGTCTTGGGCTAATTTTAAATTCAAAGTACTATTTATTTTTAAAAAAAATTAAGATAGTACTTGTTTGATTGATATTTGTTTTTTTAAAATAGTACTTACTCTTTAAATTCAAAGTATTACTTATTTTTTTTAGAAAAATCAAGATAGTACTTGTTTGATTGATATTTGACATTGCTTTTTTCTTGTTTGGCCATATTAGATTGGGATTGTTTCCTCAGAACATGAATTGTATGGGCTGAACAGAAGGCTTGAAGCAATGTGTATTTATCAATAGTCTCAAGGTACGGGGCTACAGCCTACAGGCTATGATGCCTAAAATTAGTGAGAAGGAAGGTGGTTAAATGTAATCGCCATGTCTTGGCCTAATTTTCCTTTTCTCCATAACGTAACGTCCTCTCACTTTCATTTATTATGGAAAGTTGAGTATTACGTTTTCTCATTTTCTGTATCTTCCGCAAATAAGTACAAACAGCTGTGCTATACGAGGGAGATTTCCCACTTTTCTATAAGATACGGTGACCATAACCTACAACTGCCCCACCCATTCTCATTGGCATTTATAGCCAATAGCCTAAAATTAAATCAATGAAAACAACTAATCATTAGCAACTTAAATATTATTAATTAATATGTAAGTTACTTAATCTTAAAAGCTCTAACTTTCATTAGTTTTTTCCTTCTTCATTTACCTAAGAATAAACCAATCTTTTCAATATTAATATTAATAATGAACAATTAATATATCATTCATTTAAATTATTTTCAATTGCTAAGACAAATAAATTTTATAATATACCATTCATGATTGGACGTTTTTAATTGCCATATTATTATTTTTTATTAATAAATTTATTACTTTCTTTACATGAAAAAAGAAAAAACTAATGGAAGTTAAAACTTAAAGGGTCAAGTGTCTACTATTTAAAGTTTCTATGCTTATGAGAAAGTTTTCTCACTATGTTTTGTTTTAGAGATTTTCTTAAATCCAAATTTTGATTATAGGATATATTTGCTTGGATTACATTTTCTCAATATGAATAGATATTTTATTTTAAGCATATAAAATGCTACCCTATGCATTAAATAGGGGAGGATAACATTTTATATTTACCCCACCACACTATCCCCACCCCATTCCCGTTGGCATTTATAGCCAAGAGCATGAAATTAAATCCATGAAAACAATAAATCATTTTAACGATTTAAATATTATTAATTAATATGTAAGTTACTTGACTATTAAAGTTCTAACTTTCATTAGTTTTTTCCTTCTTCATCTACCAAAAGATGAATAGTCTTAAATATTACTAATGAATATGTTGAAAAAAAAAAGATCTTACCTCTTCATCTACCTAAGAATAAACCAATCTTTTCAATATTAATATTAATAATGAACAGTTAATATACCATTCATTTAAATTGTTTATTTAACAGTTTTTTTTTATTTTATATTAATATTGAAAAGATTGGTTTATAATAACTAGTTATTTTATAATATTTAATTTTATTTTATATTTAAAACTTAAA